CTGCAGAATGATAAGCTTGGCCCCCACATACTCAAGAAGGCTAGCAGTTCCTGGCTGGGCTCTCAGTTTCTAACCTCAAGGAGGTTCATGATCCGTCAAAACCATAGGAATAGCGCATGGACCAGGAACATGTACAGCTCTGTCTCACTGCTCAGTGCTCTCCAGCCATCCCTTGTCCACTCCATCCTCCTCCAAAGCTGCTAACATTCCCTGCCAGCCCTTCTCCCCACCAGTCACCCAGCTTTGCCACTCAAGCACTGGGATGTGTGTCTACAGCCACTGCTTTAAAGTTAGGTCACATAGGTCCACAGAGCCCAGTGTAGAAGATGCATCTGGAAGTTAGACTGTGTGTCATCCAAAGCCGGTGCTGGCCAGTGTCCTCTGGAAGCAGTTGTTCCCATGTGCTCCATTTCCATCTCTCTGTCTTGCTACACATATGCACACGCATGCACACATGCACATATTCGGAGCCCATTCTCCTCACCCTAGTGGTTGTGTTCTGTGAGGCGCTAGCACTGATTCAGCGGATGCTAGCCAGTTGCTGCTGGGGTTCACACAGGGTCAGTTTCCCATGAGCCTCTGGTCATCACATATGCCACATGGGAGCTCGTCTGGTCTCTGGTCATCCCATGAATTACCCGGGAGCTTGTCTGATGTGCTTCTGTCCAAAGGCTCCTTGAGCCATCCACATGGCAGACTCATCACCACTGGCCTCACAGCTGCATCAGAGCTTGTGGACTCTCTGTGAAGTGCCCTGTAGTACTAATGTCACAGGACATGGTGGTTCAGCACCATTCAGGGGCATTCCCTAGCAAGAGGACAGCACAACCCCAGAAAACTTGTTACCAAGGAGACCCAATGGGGCTTGTTTTCAGGATGAGTCAAAACCAGAAGGCAGAGCCCTATTATTATCACATCCTACCCAGCTGGGAGCATATACCTTAATATTCCCTGCTCTGTATCTATTCATGGATAGCCACAGAAAGATCACAAGTAGATTTGGAGATGCAGATAAATGTCAGAAAGTAAAAATTAAACAGAATCCACAAATGGTGAGGATTGACTCTCTGCCTATCAATCCAACCACTCATCCACACATCTACCTACTCATCTATACATCTGTCCATCTGTCCATCCATCCATCCATCCATCCATCCATCCATCCACCCATCCACCCACTCAATCACTTATTCATCCATCCAGCTATCTATCCATCCATCTACTTAACCATCCATCCACCAACCCATCCATCTTTTATCATCATGCATTCATCCATCCACTAACACACTCATCTATCTACTAACACACTCATCCATCTACTAACACACTCATCTATCTACTAACACACTCATCCATCCACTAACACACTCATCTATCTACTAACACATTCATTCACTCACCCACCTACTTACTCACCCATTTATCTATCCATCCATCAATGTACCCATCCACCCATGTACCCATCCATTCACCACCCACTCATCTATGTACTTATACACTCATCATCTACCAACCACTCTCCCACCCACCATCAATCCATTCATCTATCATCCATATATCATTTCATTCACTCATCCACCACCCATCCATCTGTCCACTTACCCATTCACTATCCTATCTATCTATCTACTTACTCATTCATCTACTGACTCATGCACCCATATATTTACCTATCTACCCACCTACCCATCCACCCACCTATCCATGTATCTACCAACCCACTTAGATATCCATTTACTCACCCAGCCAATCCACCCAGCAAACTACTCATCTATCTTCTCATGTATCCATCTTACCCACTTATCCATCCACCTACCCCCTCATCTATCCATTCATCTATCCATCAACTCACTCATACACTAGCCCATCCGTCTACTTGCTCATTCATCTACCCACTCACCCATCCATCCACTCATCTATCTACTTATCCATCTGCTTGTCCATCCGTCATTCATCATCTACCTATCCATCCTCTATGTATGTATATAATATGTATGTGCACATAAATATGTCTCCATATTTATAGAGTTTAACAACACAAACTGTATCATACTTAACCCACCACATTGTTTTTTTATCTTAATTCAAGAAGTTCCTTTTCTGTGACTTCGCAAAGATTTGTCTCATTTACAGCTGATAGAGTTCTAGATTGGTCCATAGGTGCATCCCCTGTTTGGTGTGATTCAAAATAACACACATTTGCCACACAGCATGTGTGTTGGGAATCTGCTACAGCAAAACCTGGCTCTGTGGGGCTGTATCAAAGCACCCCCTAATGATTCCATTGGGCAGATCCCCTTCCCACTCATGTGGCCACTGAGACATTTAAGACTGAGTGCCTCAGTTTCTTTTTGGCTGTGGAGCCTCATCTTTAGGCATCCTATCTATGGGTAGGTTGTGAGGTATGATTTCTTCTAAGCGTGAGAAGCACTCCCAAGACATCAGCATCCTCAGCTGCTGCATGCTGGCCCTTGCTGTGGGGCATGGCCCACCACAGTACAAGCCTGGGAGCACCCTGCACATGAACACAGGGGTAGGGACATACAGCGCCCCCCCACCCCCACTCCCTGCACCACAATCTGTCACTGTTACTTGGACAACAGCTTTGCACACACTCCATCCTGACCCTTGGAGACTTTCTGCACTGAGAATTGATTCTACAAACGTGACCCACAGAGCTCCTGTGACCAGGACCCTCTTGCTGGGCTCCCTAAGCTCAGCCCTTCAGATAGCTGAGTCTGCAGGGGAACCCATGGCTGTCTCTGGTGTTGTCCTAGGGAGTAGAGATGTAGGGGTTTCCCCACACCGCCTCTGAAGGACCTGCTTGCAAATGTGTATTCTGTCCATCTCAGTGTGGGGCCACTCAGAGATGGGGAAGAGCAACAGATTTGCACAGACTCGGGATGTTTACGAGATGAGTGACAGTTCACAGCTAAACAAGGAACTGTTAATGAGACTGCTGGGTCGCCAAACAAGGAAGGCTAAAGCCACCAAGGGGAATAAAAGCCGAGGGCTCCGCACTTCACACACACACTCAACACTCAACACTCACTCACTCTCTCACAAACTCACTCTCCTCAAGCCAACCCTGCCATGGCCGCCTCCACCATGTCTGTCTGCTCTGACGCCCGCACCAACTCCTCCTGGCAGGTGGATGACTGCCCAGAGAGCTGCTGTGAGCCTACCTGCTGTGCCCCCAGCTGCTGCCAGTCCAGCTGCTGCCAGCCCAGCTGCTGCCAGCCCAGCTGCTGTGTGCCCAGCTGTTGTGTCCCTAGCTGTTGTGTGCCCAGCTGCTGTGCCCCAGCCCCCTGTACAACTCTTATCTGCACCCCAGTGAGCTGTGTGTCCAGCCCTTGCTGCCAATCTGTCTGCTGCTCACCCTCATGCTGCCAGCAGTCTAGCTGCCAGCCCTCATGCTGTCAATCCTCCTGCTGTGTGCCTGTCTGCTGCAAGCCTGTCTGCTGCACACCCATC